ATCATAATTGCCTCAGAATGCTAACTGTCTGCGTGTTATATAGCTATATGTATTATTCTTCTATTCTAGACATACGGACTAATGCCCGATACCTACTATATATGATGGAAGGCTTAATTAGGCTTATAATTATCTGTATAATAGTCTGCTTTCAGTATAGCAGAATGTGACACAGCTGATGTGCTGAAAATTAGTCTTTAGATTAATTAGGTCTTAGAATGAGTAGAGGTACGGGTGTGCAGCACTGCAGAGAAGACGCATGCTGTCCTATCGCTAACCCATCCAGAGAGACGACAAATTGCTGGCAATTTGGTACGACTAGTCAAAAGTATAATTTCAACAAAAAACTGTCTAAATTTACATGAAAAATTATATAAAATAAGAGATGATGAAAAAGTATGATATATGAACTGCTGACATCTTTGGCTGATCTCGCGAAAAGTGAAGTTCTAGTTGATGAACCCGTCTACATGAATAGGTTCAGCAGTTGCATGTCAATCCTCTATGGGAGGTGTTAGTATTGCACGCACGTGCATGCTAGATACAATAATGTAACCCAAACCCAAGAGGATAGGGGATCCCCTATCCTCTTGGGTTTGGGTTACATTATTGTATCTAGTGCATGCACGCAGACACGTACACGTACATGGTCGTGAAGCCTCAGTCGACTTTACGAAAGTAGAATATAATTATTACTAATTTACGGCTAATTAATAACTAACGGCTACCGCTAATTATACTAATTTATATGGTAGTCGCATAAATAGGTTGTTAGTATAGTTTAATTAACGACTGTTACAGCTTATTTACATTTCCTTTATTATGAGTTGGTAAATCACTCTTACGTCGGAGTACCTTTTAATTGAAATACGTACGAAGCATTTTTTCTTTTATACGTCAGTATAAACATCAACAATAATATCATTTAGCGAGATTTAAAAGTTATATGTCAAGTATCAAATACGATAATAGAGCAGCACACAGAATTCTACGCTGTTGCAAACATGTTTCATGCAACATGTTGCAACTTCCAGTGCGCTATTCTCACGAGCTGTTTACCGCAGCTCAGTTACGTTAGATGGCGCCACTTACACATACCCTGATCTAACAATCGGGTACCCTCGGACCCATAGAAATCAAGGAGCTACATATAACACATGTATATATATGTTATGTATATATATATGTATATATACATATGTATTATATGTTATATGTTATATGTAGCTCCTTGATAGAAATAGATGTCAATCCTCAGGGTCAATCAAGAACATAGGCCGCCGAAATTTAAACAAAAGGCAGCTACTAACCACTCTTGCTCACTCGGCGAGGCGGTGTGGCTCGCAGGGAGATTGCGGTGGGATATATCCTTGCATATATATTTGCAGGGAGATACTGTCGTAGGTTATAGAATGCCATGACAATTTACTTGGCAATTCGTGTCAAGTATGGATTTATATCATTGTGGTCAGTGAGATTTTTGTTGGCGGCAGTGTGAAGCCATAGCTGCTAGCATTGGGATACCATGGTGCTGGCTTTGGTACCATAGGTAATAGGTTGTATAAAATTGTGTACAGTTATTATATGGGGAGGGGGGATGTGTTCAATGAAGGAGTTATTGTAGACGGTATGATGGACAAAGAACGGAATTTATTTATTGTTGGGCTCTATTTCGTCAGGAACAGGTGTGTGTGCGTGCGTGCGTGCGTGCGTGCGTTCGAGATTCCGACACATTCCAAGTTTTCTTAGGGGACCACGTTCCCAGACCTGCCTGGTTCCACCCCACAACGGACCATGAAGTGCTTCATCACACATTGTAGTTGAAGTGCAGTTGGATTATTATTCCACCCACCTAGAACACAAAAACAATTCGTGCATAATCATTATCAAATATAATATCTGTGTCATTTAGTGTCCCTCTTATAAACCAATCATAATTGTAACTTGGCACATCGCCCGCTCGCCAAAGTTGAGTAAAATTAATGTCGGGTAACTAAAAACAAAAACTGACCCGCTCATTTCCGTATGTAAAATAATATATATATATATATAAAATATATATGGGACTTGTAGTGTACGTGTTGATTGTCATAAAGGTCATTAGTTTACAATAAAATTTAATAACTAACTAGATATTAGTGTATGAAAGTGCGTAAAGGCTCAGACAGACAATCACAAATGAATATATTAGGATTTAACTTGAGAAAAGAATCTCTAGTATCTCTAAAGTCGGCAGCATATATACACGAATAGCAAGACTACAGAACTCGATCTAATGTAGTCACACCAGGCAAGTAGTAAGCTCACCAGGGTACTATATGTAGTCACACCAGGCAAGTAGTAAGCTCACCAGGGTGCTGAACACTGCATAGAAAGATTTGGTAGGTTAAAGTGCAGAAAAGCAGTACAGGGAAAGAGTTGCAAGAGGTGTGGGGTGCGTTGGAACGAATGTTAGTTGAGACGGACACTATAGCATTGACACGACTATAACATTAACGGCAGATGGTATACTCCTTCAGGCAGCGTGCCATCTGTGTTGTTGTCGCCACAAACAGGACAACCTTCTATATAGATTACACTGGCCCATTCAGAAACTCGGTTCATTCGCCTAATCGCACGTAGACCAATCCCATCGAAGACAATGTTTCGTGGCTAATCGTCCAGTTATCACGCAAATGCGCAATCTTGCGAGAAGAAAAATGCATTGCCAATATTTGTTCTTGTATACTTCCTTGTTCTGAGCAGATATAATACCCTAGCTACGACTACAGGAAAATGATAAAGCTTCAGTGAGATGGATCTAAATCTAATATATAATGCTATATTGATTATAGATTACTGATATTATTAGTCTGCAGTTAATTTATTGTGTCAACATTTTGTGGTTGAGTGATCTATATTAACATGAAAACGTGTAATTACAGGCAATTCTGGCTACTGCGCAGTGTTAGCGATATCACCATTGAACATCTAAAACCACCTTGAGCTGCTTTTTAATGCCATCAGAAGAGCAGGTACGTCAGGTTGTCTTTTTAAATAATCTGGTTCCTTTCCTTTGAAGTTCAAACCAATTCTCCCAGATGGCTATCAGCTTTATAAGTAACTTGTACGATGAAGCTGAGCTTGTACGTGAGCACGTAGCGTTAGTGCCCAAGGAGCTCTGGCACTAACTCCATCATGGTCTGGATGGTGATGCTGAACACTAACACACACATCTGCGGATTTCACCCTACGCCTACGCCTACTCCCTAACCATATCAAATAGTTACCAGGGTACGTTCCGGCAGTACCCAGGGAGACATAGACCCTATGATCGCTAGTATGGTGTATGATAATAGTCACATGATTTCTTACCCGGGTAATATTATTCTATTATATTCTTACATTCTAAAGTAACTAATTTATATCTAAATCCAAAACTATCTCGATTAGTTTCTAAATTTTATTCATTTATTGCTAAACCAGTCATCATTTTTAAAGTAAATTGATAACAACAAGTGCTGGTAGTATTTACAATGACCTTACTTTAGAAATCTGAATTTTTTTCTGAAATTTCCCAAACTAAACACAAGTCAACAAACCGTATAATGCTTAGCTAGAAGAATTAGTAATTCCTATTAACAAATGCCGCATAGCGACAGTGCTCAACTAACGTGTACTGTAGCCAGGTATTCTTCTGATAAACTCACTGGCAACCGAATCAAGTGCGCCCTCCCGCCACCGCGTTCGCGCTCAGGTATAGCAAAGCCTAGCTATCATAGATTTTAGATCTGTATTAGTAGTATCTTAGATATATGCTCGATGATTAAATTTCTAAAATTCTAGATACCTATAGACACATGTCTTAGCTATACTCTCTGTGAATATTGAGTTTATTGACGCACGATTAGTTAATATATTAGCAAATATATGCGTACCGTAATCTCCCGTACCGGCCTGGATATAGTGTTGCGATTTCTATGGGTCCGAGCATAGAAATAGATAGATAACCTAGAATGCTGATTCGCCCATCTCCCTGTACTTAACAAATGACGCCAGAGCTGTATCTTTATTACTGTACTACCGGTAATTCACTTCCGCGCGCATATATTTGCTATATTGACTAATCGTGCGTCAATAAACTCAATATTCACAAAGAGTATATGAATTCAAGCCGGTACGGGAGATCATTTGCATAATATATTCTAGATTACTTAGCTGTCTTAGCTATGTCTCAGCTATACTCTCTGTGAATATTGAGTTTATTGACGCGCGATTAGTCAATATATTAGCAAATATATGCGTACCGTAATCTCCCGTACCGGCCTGAATATAGACAAACCCGTTTCAATTGCTTGAAATTGTTGGGTGTTGCTATCCCCCGGGCGTGGAGGGAGGTCACGTGATAACGTTGACGATGACGTTCAAAGCGTTAACCCTAACGGTAACCCTCACTCCAACACCGCCAACACTAACCCTCACACAAAAAATATATATATCGCCGCGCTATATATAGGCATTGTGATCCACAAAAATTAATCTATGGTGTGGGGACAGATATCATGATGCAAAAACCTTAACCTTAACCCTAATCCTAACCCTAACCCTAACCCTAACCCAAATCCTAACCCTAACCCTAACCCTAATCCTAACCCTAACCCTAACCCTAACCCTGACCCTAACCCTAATCCTAACACTATCCCAACACTAGTGCTGCCACGTTGCGGTCACCTCCCTCCACGCCCGGGGGATAGCATTACCCAGAATGGGTGAACACATAGACTCACAGTCGTGACAGATTCTACACAATGTATACTTTATTATAATACTTTTATTTTACTATTATTATAATACTTTACAATAATTACAATTATGATAATAATATGATATAATATCTTTCATTATAGTATTACTTAAATGCTAAAATCGTAATCTTAGCAATACCTACAAATATTTATTACCATTTATGTAAAATTGATAATATTCCAATGTACATCTAGTATGCAGGAAGTGTAACTGCCATGGCAAGATCGCAGTTTGTGATGGCAATGTTGAAGATAAGGCAGGTATCGTTTTTTTGTGTCTGCGCCTAACGCGTTTTTAACCGTTGTTAAATAAGATTTTCACTTACACACATACTAATTGTATAATTAAATATACATGCCAATAAAACTATATCTATAACTACATTATATTAGATCACCGAAAATACGACCCGGTTATGTCAATTGTATACAGCAGATGGTGCGTAACTATATCTGTGTCTACGGAATCTTCACAACTCTTTCCTGGTATACGGACCATCGAAATCCAACAGAATAAATGACTGTAACTTCAAAAAACAAGGAGGCAAATCAGTGCACGTATTTTGATCACTAGTCTTACTGAGTGGTCAACATTTCGAGCCTGTTTCTTTATATCGTCATCACTTTGCTTGTAATCACACCATTCTACTACTTCACGGTCACTGCTGAGATCCGTAATATCATCATTTTATTCTTGAAATTGGTAACACGTCTGGGTTCCACCTGTTCGCCGATAATACAATGTTACAGCGAAGCAACAGTTATTAAACTAATTGTTGTCGCTTGAAAAACCTAATTAACTAACAGGATGGTAGAATATAAGTAATAGTTAGATTTCTATTCGCACTTGCGATACACGAGACAAACCGTTGAAAATTCTAGTTTGGATTTCTGCTGATAAGTAATAAGTAAATGATGGATATAATAAAAATAAAAATAAAAATAATTATTATTATTATCATAATAATAAGTAATATATTATATTTCCGTTCATCACATGCGAAACGTCACGTTATCCTGCAGAGCTTCGTCTTAATATTAATAACGACATTCCTACGTTCACATCGTGACGTACATTCGACGGACAACTCATTCTTAAATACGTCACATTAGTCTCTGAACACCATATATTCATTCTGACGTACAAGCACCTTCATCATTGTCTACGTAACCCTGCATAACTGGCGGCATTCAAGCGTGTAAAACTTTCACATTGACATGCGTTCTTTCATTCTAACGCGCTATTCGCACCTTTGTACGTTCTTGGCAACGCGCACGCACTACTGGTGACGTGAGCGTCTCTCATGCTAGTCGGTGCCGACGGGTCGCCGACGATGCCGACGTCGGCGGCCGCAGCACGATCGGCGCATGCGCACCGAGCGTCGTGTTTGGTGACGCAGAACAGATTGTCGCTGAGGCTTACCTGACGGTCGTGCTTGCAGCGAGCGTGTTCTGTAATATCGTCGTCGTCTGGGCGATCAACCACGCTCAAGAAACGCCACCTCTTCCGACCGAATCTCTTCATCATCGGACACGTCGCCGTCACCGATCTGGCGACGGCCGTCATCTGTCTGCCGCTTGTGCAGGCGGCAACGGCTGTCGGTCGCTGGCCGTTCAGTGCGTCAGCGTGTGCGGCGTCGGCAGCGCTCAACACGCTCCTGGTGACGGCCTCCGTGTTATGCATCATCGCTGTCAGCGTCGAGCGCTATTTCTCGATCGTGCGTCCATACTAGTACAAACTGCTCGTGACGAAACGACGCTGCGTCATCGCCGTCGTCGGCATGTGGTCGGTGTCGGCGGCGCTCGCGATCGTGCAAGTCGTCGTGCTTAACAACTGGGCGTTCTATCCGGGCCGCGCGATGTGCTTCATGGACTGGCAGACGCGAGAAGCTCCGAAGCTCGCCTTCAACATCGCTGATCTTGTGCTGTGCGTGCTGCTACTGCTCGGGCTGCTGCTCATAGTTGTTATTCTCGTCGTGCGGGCCGCTCGTCGCCACCACACGAACTCGCTGCGCCTGACGGCATCCTACGGCACCGACGGCCAAGCGGCCGACAACCGCCGCGTCATCCGCAACAATCTCAACGTTCCGAAGAGTGATTCGCCGACGATAGTGCATCGCGGGGGGTCGCGGCTGTCGCTGCCGCTCGCGTGCGCGACGTCCAAGATTTCGGCGGCCAGGTGTCGCAGCGCACCGAACAACTTCGAAGTGACGGTGACGAAGAAGGCGAAGACGATCTCGCTGCACCAGCTGAAGGCGGCGCGTATACTGCTCACGGTCGTCACCTGCTTCGTCGTCTGCTACCTGCCGCTGTTCGCGCTCAACGTGGCGACAGGCGTGCTACAGTGGCGCACCCTGCCGCCGAGACTCGACCGCGTCGCCCCCATGCTGCTCTACACGTCACGTGTCCGCCGACTCCCGTCGCCAGCTCCGGTTCGAGCGGAGTGACGACGATCTCTCCCACCGATCTCTTCCGGCGGATACAGAACGCGAAGAGCTGCCACGAGCTGACGGCGGAGACGACGTCAATGCAAGTCACCGGAAGGTCGAGAATCACGGCCGAAGACTCAGCGCATCCGGTCATCCACGTGATCACGCCCATCGCGGGCACCTCCCGCCAGATGGCGTGCTTCGACAACAACTCGTTCGCAGACAACTCGTTCGCCGACAACTCGTTCGCCGACAACTCGTTCGGGTCGGACGACTTCAAGATGAGAACGGCCGACTACGTTACGTCGGTGACGCAGAGTGACATGGCCGCGTCGGTTACTCTCGACATCCCGTCGTGTGACGTCACGAAGTGCGCCGAGGCGGACCTACGTGTCGAGAGCGCCGTGGCGTCGTCAGTGTGTGAGTCAACTTATTGCACGTGACAGTCCGTCGTCTGTCTGTCATCGTGGTACGTAGTGACGTGATAAGGATCAGACGGAGGATGATGGGGGAGGAGGGGAGCTTACCGTTCGACATTGACTTCTATTCTGTATTGGCCACCATCAACATGCTGATGATTTTGCCAACGGGAGGCGCAAGTTAAAAGGTTGAATTTATTTTTAATTTTTAAAATCTTTACTTATAAACTGCCCTGATGACATTCAGGCCGTAAGCAGAGTCTTAAAGTCATTTAGACTCTCACGTTGTGAGAAAACTAGCACGCAGTTCTGCTGATAAGAGTGAACGTATCTCCAATGATAAGTGATAACGTGAATCGAAGATATGAAATAGTATGACAGAACCTACGGACGCAACCATGTACAACATGAGTTATAAGGGCAGGTGCCGAGTGCAATAGCCTACACACGGGTGAAGGCATGTGACAGAACCTGTAAGGGCAAGGCCTTGTTACAGAACCTAGGTGCATGGGTAAAGCATCGTGACCGAACCAATACGGGTAAAGGTTTGTGACTGAAGGAATATAGGTAAAGGTACGTGACCGTACCTATAACAGTAAAGCTTTGCTACAGGTACTTGCTCTATAGCAGCGGTTCTTAACCTGGGGATCGTGACCTCCATGGGGTCGTTTGGGGTATTTCCGGAGGTCAGGAAGGGGTCATAAATGAAATAAATCTATTTAAATATATAATTATCAGGGTGCTACCAAACAATTTTCCTCACTTTCGTGACTCATAAATTTGGTTGCCCACAAGCCTAATTAAAGCACTTGCATGAATTTTTTTTTTATCGCCTGATGGCTGTGAAGCAATTTCAGCCATCCCATTGACTGAGTATTGCCAGACATGTTTTCATAAATCGGGCTGTTTTTTTTCAATTTTTGTTTCGGGGGTCACGGTACTGACCAAGATGGGGTCGTGGGGCCAAACAGGTTAAGAACCACTGCTCTAAATGTAATGTAGGTACGTGTGACAGAATCTGTACAGGTAAATATGTGATAGAATCTGTACAGGTAATTGTACACAGGAATATATAAAGGTAAAAAGGTTCTGTTAGTTATTTAGTTCTAATTAGTTAATTATTGTTGTGTTTAGCTGCTTACCATGTATGTATGTTTGTATGTATGTATGTATGTATGTATGTATGTATGTATGTATGTATGTATGTATGTATGTATGTATGTATGTATGTATGTATGTATGTATGTATGTATGTATGTATGTATGTATGTGTGTGTGTGTGTGNGCGCACCAAGCGTCGTGTTTGGAGACGCAGAACAGATTGTCGCTGAGGCTTACCTGACGGTCGTGCTTGCAACGAGCGTGCTCTGTAATATCGTCGTCGTCTGGGCGATCAACACCACGCTCAAGAAACGCCCCCTCTTCCGTCCGAATCTCTTCATCATCGGACACGTCGCCGTCACCGATCTGGCGACGGCGGTCATCTGTCTGCCGCTCGTGCAGGCGGTAACGGCCGTCGGTCGCTGGCCGTTTAGTGCGTCGGCGTGTGCGGCGTCGGCATGGCTCAACACGCTGCTGGTGACGGCATCCGTGTTATGCATCCTCGCTGTCAGCATCGAGCGCTATTTCTCGATCGTGCGTCCGCACCAGTACAAACTGCTCGTGACGAAACTACGTTGCGTCATCGCCGTTGTCGGCATGTGGTAGGTGTCGGCGGCGCTCGCGATCGTGCAGGTCGTCGTGCTCGACAACTGGGCGTTCTATCCAGGCCGCGCTATGTGCTTCATGGACTGGCAGACGAGCGCAGCGCCGAAGCTCGCCTTCAACATCGCTCATCTTGTGCTGTGCGTGCTGATACCGCTCGGGCTGCTGCTCATAGCTGATATTCTCGTCGTGCGGGCCGCTCGTCGCCACCACACGAACTCGCTGCGCTTGTCGGCGGCCTACAGCACCGACGGCCAAGCGGCCGACAACCGCCACGTCATCCGCAACAATCTCAACGTTCCGAAGAGGGATTCGCCGACGATAGTGCATCACGGGGGGTCGCGGCTATCGCTGCCGCTCGCGCGCGCGACGTCCAAGATGTCGGCGGCCAAGTGTCGCAGCGCGCCGAACAACTTCGCCGTGACGGTGACGAAGAAGGCAAAGCAGATCTCGCTGCACCAGCTGAAGGCGGCGCGTATACTGCGCAGGGTCGTCACCTGCTTTGTCGTCTGCTACCTACCGCTGTTCGCGCTCAACGTGGCGACGGCCGTGCTACAGTGGCGCACCCTGCCGCCGAGACTCGACCGCGTCGCCTCCATGCTGCTCTACATGCACTGCTTTCTCAACGCCTGCTTCTACGGTTTCACAAACCGCAACATCCAGCGCACGATTGGCGCCGCTGTGTCGCACTGGCGCAGCGGCAACCAGGTCGGTGCCGTCGTCCCGGCGCCGACGCCGACGGCGACGCCTCCCGTCACGTGTCCGCCGACTCCCGTCGCCAGCTCCGGCTCGAGCGGAGTGTCGACGATCTCTCTCACCGACCTCTTCCGGCGGATACAGAACGTGAAGGGCTGCCACGAGCCGACGGCGGAGACGACGTCAATGCAGGTCACCGGAAGATCGAGCATCACGGTCGAGAACTCA